GTGTGCGTGTGCGTGTGCGTGTGTGTGTGTGTGTGTGTGCGTGTGCGTGTGCGTGTTCGTGTGCGTGTGCGTGTGGCGTGTGCGTGTGCGTGTGCGTGTGCGTGTGCGTGTGCGTGTGCGTGTGCGTGTGCGTGTGCGTGTGCGTGTGCGTGTGCGTGTGCGTGTGCGTGTGCGTGTGCGTGTGCGTGTGCGTGTGCGTGTGCGTGTGCGTGTGCGTGTGCGTGTGCGTGTGCGTGTGCGTCTGCGTGTGCGTGTGCGTGTGCGTGTGCGTGTGCGTGTGCGTGTGCGTGTGCGTGTGCGTGTGCGTGTGCGTGTGCGTGTGCGTGTGCGTGTGCGTGTGCGTGTGCGTGTGCGTGTGCGTGTGCGTGTGCGTGTGCGTGTGCGTGTGCGTGTGCGTGTGCGTGTGCGTGTTGTGTGTGTGTGTGTGTGCGTGTGCGTGTGCATGTGCGTGTGCATGTGCGTGTGCGTGTGCGCGTGGGTGTGCGCGTGTGTGTGGGTGTGTGCGCGTGTGCGTGGGTGTGGCTGTACGCGTGCGCGTGCGCGTGTGCGTGTGCGTGTGCGTGTGCGTGTGTGTGTGCGTGTGCGTGTGCGTGTACGTGTGCGTGTGCGTGTGCGGGTGCGTGTGTGTGCGCATGTGCGCGTGCGTGTGCGCGTGCGTGTGCGCGTGTGTGTGTGTGTGTGTATGTGTGTGTGTGTGTTTGTCTGTGGTGGTGGTGTGGTGGTGTGTTGTGGTGTGTGGTGGTGGTGTGTGGTGGAGTGTGGTTGGTGGTGTGTGGTGGTGTGTGGTGTGTGGTGGTGTAGCGTGTGGCGGTGGCGGTGTGTTCGTGGTGTGTGGTGGTGTGTGGTGGTGGCGGAGGTGTGATAGGGGGTGGAGAGGAAGGGGGGGCGGAGGGGAGCTAACAATGTTTGAACGAGTTTGTGAGCGCTCTCGTGCTCCTCCACCTGAGTTCCAGCGTGAGCTGTCCCATCCCTGGCTCAGGCTACCCGTGAACAAGGGGCAGGCACCCTCTTCTTGTTTGACAGCCCCCGTTGGCGCTGGGTGACCTCTGCGGTATGCCAGCTGGGCCTCCAGCCAGGCAAGTAGAACAACGCACTGGCGAAGAAGGCTGGGGGGGGGGGGGGCGAACGAAGAGGGAGCTGGAGCGGCGGACGGGGGAGAAGGCAGGGAAGAGGAAGCTTTGCCACCCTGAGGCTAATCGTCGCTTGGGCCACCTTGGACCTCCAATCAGCCAAGTAGAGGGGCACTGAAGGGCACTAGAGAAGCAGGCCGACAGGGGGTGGCAAAGGAGGAGGGCACTACACCTGCTTCGCGTCCTCCCTAGGCTCAGAGCACACGTGCATGACGACTGCAACCTCCTCAGCACTCCCAAGAAATGTCAATAGCTCCTCGGGCTTCCCGTTCTGGGCCTTCCACAGCGCATCAACCAGCCGCAGACCAAAAATGTCGTTCGACCGGAAGCACTCAAACCAAGAGCGCGCGAAGACAAGACCGTCCAGTTGTTCCTGGTCCCAGCCGTTCGGAGGCATCTGGGGACTGCAGAGCCCGAAAAGCGCAACCAGCATGACGCCCAGCGGGGCTACATACGTTACCACCATTTCGGAGTTTTCGTGGCCGGCCTTCCAATGACCGTGGAGCTCCTGGAAAGCCATGCAAAGAGCCAGGGCAGGCATGATACACATGAGCGCGACCAGTCCCAGGTAGACTCTGTCGCGCTCTAGTCTTAAGTCGGGCGTGTCCCCCTACAGGGGGATTAGTGCGAAAAATGAAAACATTCAAAAATACCTCCCAAATGCTCAAAAATAGTCAAAAAATCGCCCCCATACGATTTTTTGACTATTTTTGAATATTCCCCCTGTAGAGGGACAGGCCCGACTTAACTCTAGTCTCCAGGTCCAACCCAAGTAAGCACCAGAGCCACAGCTCATGGGTGCTCCGGCGTGCCAGACAAACCCAAAGAGCCCGTACAGGAGCAGCAGCGCAGCGGGCACGCCGAAGAAGCAGAAGGTGATCCTGAAGGCCAACGTCTTCTGCCACTCTGAATACATGGTGCTATCCTCAAACGGCATCAGCATCATCTCGCAGAGCATGCGCCAAGAGGCCGCCGCAGCGAAGACCACCCGCATCTCCACAAGCACAAAATGCACGATGGCCGATGGAAAGTAGGACCATGAAGATGGGTGCGTGTACCACTCCATCGCAACTCGGAGGAGGAGGCACCCATACCGCTACCCTCCGCCCGTTCCCCCCTTTTGGGGGGCCTCCTGGGAGGCCCTCGTCGCTGCGGCTGGAGTCGCCTCGAAATCCGGGTCACAACGCATCCCAAGAGAGAGGTCCGGGGAGCAGCGGTATCGGTACCCCCTGCTTCTCCCCGGAACCGCTCTCCCTCGCTGGCCGAGGCCCGCGAGGGAGCGGCCGTGGTGAGTCAACGGCCTTGCTGCTTCATTGCGAGGGCTGCCCAGGCCAGAGCGCGGCTCGAGCCACGGCGGCTGCGGACGAGGAGCGGCCAGGAGGGCACACAGAGGAATAGACACCCAGGATTCCCCTGTATGTTTGTATATTGTCTAGGTCTTCGTCTTCCCCTCCACTTCCCGTTTTTTGTCCTATATTTCCCTGGGTGTCGACGATTCACTGTATCTGTGTGTGTGTTGACTCACATCGGTAGACAAGGCCTGCGCCTTCTGAGAAGCAGGGGTTGCGTCTGAGGAGCCCTGTCCCCAGACCCCCGACGCCATGATCTTTTTTCATGACGTCGGCCCCCAAATTCTCGACCCCTTCCCCGGGACCGGCTACTCCTCCTGAGTCGTTTTTTGACGGTCCCGAGGCCCGGTGAGGGCCTCCGGAGGCCGAACATGGCGAGAAACCTCCCGCCATGATTTTTTGAAGGGACCCACAAGCACACAAGTAAATACACAAAAAGAACAGGATTCCCCCTCTATTTCCCTTTTCTTCGGGGTCTCTGACTTCCCCCCCCGCTTCCCACATTCTCCCATATTTCCTTGGGCATCGACGATTCATTGTGTCTGTGTGTCTTTTGCCCTCCTGATTTACGTCATTCATCGAGGGGGCCTGGGTCCCTCCTGATTTTCGCCATTCATCGAGGGGGTCTGGGTCCCTGCCTCACGCCCTGGCGCTGCGCGCGGCTGGGGCTGCCGGCAGCAGCACCCCCTGCGCGGGCGGGCCCCGTCCACCCGCCCCCCTGCGAGGTGGCGATCTCTCGGCTACACGCAAGAGTGGCCCTGGGTAGATGAGGAAGAGGAGGAGGAGGAGGTGGACGGAGAAGGAGGAGGGGATTGAGCGAGGGGGAGGAGGATGAGAAGTTGCGGAGTAGGAGGAGGAGGAGGAGGAGGAGGAGGAGGAGGAGAAGGAGGAGGAGGAGGCGGAGGAGGAAGAGGAGGAGGAGAGGAGGAGGAGGAGGAGGAGGAGGAGGTAGGAGGAGGAGGAGGAGGGGAGGAGGGGGGCGGAGGATGGGGAGGAGGAGGGGAGGAGGAGGAGGGAGGAGAGGAGGATGGAGGGAGGAGGAGGAGGAGGAGGAGGAGGCGGGAGGAGGAGGGGGCGGAGAAGAGGAGGAGGAGGAGGAGGAGGGAGGAGGAGGAGGAAGAGAGAGGAGGTAGAGGAGGAGGAGGAGGAGGAGGAGGAGGAGGAGGAGGGGGAGGAGGAGGAGGAGGAGGGAGGAGGAGGAGGAGGAGAGAGGGGGAGGAGAGTGCGGCGGAGGAGGAGAGAGGAGGGAGGAGTAGGGGGGAGGAGGAGGGGGATGAGGAGGAGGAGGAGGAGGAGGAGGAGGAGGAGGAGGAGGAGCGGAGGAGGAGGAGGAGGAGGAGCAGGAGGAGTAGGAGGAGGAGGAGGAGGAGGGAGGGAGGAGGCGGAGGAGGAGGAGGAGGAGGAGGAGGAGGAAGAGGAGGAGGTGGAGAAGGAGGAGGAGGCGCGGCTCGTTGAGGTCCGCGGGGGGGCCAAACACAAGCGCACGAGACGCTACTATCGCACCCCGTTCGGCGAGCTGGGGACCACAATGGGCCCGCACCAAAGGTCACTCCGGCGAAGGGTCACTCTTACGTCTAGTCGAATCTCTCGAGGTGCCCTCTGCGGGCACGCCCGGAGGTCCCACAGCTAAACGAGGCGCGCGCCTGGCGCAGGAGTCCCAGCAGCCCTCCGGGCTGAATGTTCCTTGCTCCCCGCCGACGCTCCACCGGCAGCCAACATCCATGCGCTGCTCTCGAACAACTGGAGGGCAGAAAGTCCACCGCGAGAATCACCACCCCGACACGCGAAGCCGTGTAGTCGACGCGCCCGAAGCAGGAATCACACAAGTCGGGAGCGGCCAAGAGGGGGGTGTCCAAGAGGGGGGGGTGCAAATCATGACCGGCGGCATGTGCGCGGCCCAGCGGGGGGGGGCAGGGACGTATTGAAACAAGAAGAGGCGCCATGAAATCTGGGGAAATATCATGGCCCACGCCATGATATCCAACCCCCCCCCTAGTCATCACCCCCCTCTTTTCCGCCCCCGAACAAGGGCAGGGCTGTTTCGTAAACGCCCAGGGCCGGTCAGTAGACGCCACTTGTCGGGTGCGGGCGGCTCTCCTCCCCGGATCGACCACACAAGTTGGCCAGCGAGCGCCGCCACGCCACTGCCCACGAGCATCGCAAACTCGCGGGGGGAGAGCGAGGGGAAGGAGAGGGTGGGGGGGGAGGAGAGCCAGGCAGGGCGCTGTGCGGAGATCCCCCGCGGCCCACGCGGCCACTGGCGTAATGTAACAACGCACCACGGCACCACAGAGGGGAGGGAAAGGAAGGGAGAAAACGACACGCCGCAGCGGAGGGGGCGTGCGCAATGATAGACACGATTTCTTCGAAGAAGGCTGCTTCCCAGAAGGCGCCGGCCATACATCTATAGCTAAGGCCCGCGCCTTCTAAGAACCAGGAGCGTTGCTAAGAAGCCTTCCCCCCTCCCTCCCCACCCACCTACCTCTGCGCGTGGCTGCACAAAAGGCGGCCCCACGTCGGGCCTTCTGGTCCGTCTCCCTGAGCCGTGCCTCCGTCGCCAGAAAAGCATCCCCACCCGTGGCGCCCGCGGCCGCGGCCGGCTGCGCCAGCGGCGCGTCGCTGGCGGCCGGCTTCGCCTCGGCGGTTCAAAGATGGGGCCCTGAGAGAGGGGGCCCAACGTATAGGAAGGAATCCCAGGTTGAATCCAAATGAGGTCCGTCTTGGGACGACCTCGGCGTCGGAGTCTGGCACCGCGTGGATCGTCCAACCCTGAACGATCGGCGGCTTATCGCTCGCCTGATATACCACACTGGCCAAGTCTGGACCACTCGCGGCGCTCCGCCTTGGCCGCACACGCGGTGGGGTCGCCGCCGCGTCGGCACGACGCCAACAAACCGTGCAGTCTGAGGCCTCTCGTCTTTTTCTGGTAAAGGCCTCCCACTTGGGGTCGGAGTGGATTGAAGGGGCCCCAGGACACACAAATAAGTGCACACAAATAGAATCATTCCCCATGTTTCCCCATATCTTCTGGGTTTCTGTCTTCCCCCCCACTGCCCATATTTTCGCATATTTTCTTGGGAATCGACGATTAATTGTGTCTGTGTGTTTTTTCTCTCCTGATAGATGGGGCGGGGGAACGCGACGCATCGCCGATACATCGCCGATGCATCGGTGATGCACTGGCGACGCCCGCGATGCATCGGCGACGCCGGCGTGGAGAACATCGGGCTCCACATCGAACCGCATAGCCGATGCACCGGCGATGCGGCGCGATCCCCCGTCCCCATCTACTCGGACTCTCGGAACCCATCTGGGAGGCCCAAACACATTGTCTGAACCTCGTCCCTTTCGGGTCGGGCAAAAGGGGGGGATAGCAAAGGGGGGGTTTGAGAATCAGCTCACGTAGCTGATTTTCTGGGCGCCTCCCGGCGCCGGAGGCGACTCTGTATCGAGGAATGGGCCCCTCGGCGTGGCAGAAACCAGTTGCGTGCAGCAGATTTTGTACCCCGCCCTTTCCCAATCCCCCCCTTTCGTCCGGCCCGACCTTAGGGCCCCATCTCTCAGGGCCCCATGTTCGAAACGCCGATCGCCGGCGGCGCGTCGCTGGTGGCCGCGGTCGGCTTCGCCGGCGGCGCGCTGCTGGCGGCCGCGGCCGGCTTCGCCGGCGGGGCGTCGCCGGCGGCCGCCAGCGCTCTCGCTGGGGGGTCAAGCGGAGCCGGCCTGAGGCAGGCGCATGGGAGGGGCGATCAGTGAGGAGGAGGAGGAGGAGGAGGAGGAGGAGGAGGAGGAGGAGGAGGAGGACGAGGAGGAAGCAGGAGGTGCAGGAGTCAGGAGGAGGTGGGGAGGAGACAGGAGGAGGCAGGAGGAGGAAGGAGACAAGAGGAGGCAGACGGAGGAGGAGGCAGGAGGAGGAAGTAACCAGGAGGAGGCAGGAGGAGGAAGGAGGGAGGATCCGAGGGAAGAGGAGGAAGAGGAGGACCAGTGAAAACCTAAGGGTCATCAACGATGTTGGAATAGACCCTCCTTCATAGGCCCCTACAACAATTATTTTCCACAGGGAACTGCCTCGTTGGAAGACAACCCTTGGAAGACCCTGAAGCATGCCAAAACATTGTTCTCGGGATTCCAACGCCACGGATCAACCTGACTGTTGCGTCTTGACGATCTCGAATCGTGCCAGAACACAATTCCTGGGACTTCAACGCCGCGAATCAACGTAACTGTTGCGCCCTCCGAATCCTGAATCCTTCGAGGACACTTTCTGGTACGCCGACCATGGGAAACCGTGAAACTCTTGCACAGTTTACGAACGAATGTGCGCAGCGCTAAAGCGAAAGCCACATTTTGAAAGGGACCCCCCCTCAACCTGTGAAACTCTTGCAATGTCTAAGACGTGCGCGGCGCTAAAGCGAGAACAACATTTTGAAAACGACCCGCCCTCCATCCGTGAAGCTCTTGCAAATTTTAACAACGGATGTGCGCGGCGCTAAAGCGAGAAACACATGTTGAAAACCACCCGCCCTCAATCCGTGAAAGTCTTGCTTTGTTTGTTTCATATATATAAAGAATGTGTGCGGCGCGAAGGCGAGAACCATATTTTGAAAACGACCCGCCCACAATCCGTGACGCTCGTACGATTGTTTAGTGAGCGTTTATGTATTCTGGGTTTCGTCATTTGGCGCAAGGGGGGAGGGGGGGGGGGGTCCGGCTCTCGTCCCGTAGTCAATA